AATGTTATATATAATATAAATTACAGTCACATTATTTTCACGTGTTGTTTTTCTACACTTTCCTGTCACGTGACTTTAGTTACGTTTTTAATTTTCTCTACATATACGACGAACTGTCTCAAAATCGCTTTTCATTATTTACTCTCTCGTAAGATATGTAACATTGGTAGAAAAATTAATATATTTAATTAATTTAAATAATATATATATATATATATATATTTGTGTATAACAATATAAATTTTTCATATTTAATTAATTTGTATTTGTTTAAAGATAATTATTAATTATTCAAATGATTATAATTTGTGCCTGTGTTATTTAGTATATTTCTTTAATTAATTCAAGTGATCCAATTTCTCTCTCAAAGGAGATTAAATGGAGCGAGAAAAGATATGTAAAACTTTCTGTTAATTTGTATACACGAGTATATATGCTTAATTTATTTCATAACTCGTTAATTTAATCGAGAAGCAAATATAAACATGTAATAATAACGTACATGTGTCAGACAAGCAAGTGTGCTAGTTTAAAATATGTTCGTTCAAAACTCACAGACGCGCACATACTATAATGACTTTTACAACTGTGGAAATCAACGGTCAAATTTATTGCTTGTGTCCGATATGAAACTGTCCGTAGAAACCGTTTCGTCTCACGTCAAGCGTTTCACCTAGATCGATATAAATTTCTTACGCGATACGCGCGGCATGTGTGTTTAACGAAATGACACTACAACATATTGTCAGTAAATTACGAGAAAAGATATGGATTTCGACGATCTTGTAACGAAGCGTCCTAGTTCCGAAGAAATTTCTAGCATTTGATTTGAAACAACCAAATCTTCGATTCTTTTCACGGAGGTGATGAACATCACTCGTACGATTGTTGATGTCACAGTTGTATCGATCTAGTCGATCGATCGATTCCTTAAGTCGTGAACAAAAAGACAAAGGCCGATATTTACAGTCGAATTTTACATCCAAGATCCTTTTAATTTATATCTTCGGATTCTCACAATCTTAAGATGAAGTTAAGACGATTTGAAATACAAGATTCGAATATATACACCGCTCATATTCCGGTCTGTATTTTTCGATCTATGATTCTCGATCTATCGACGATACACAGCGATTATCCGCAAAGCGAGTTCTGCTGCGATCCGTTTTGCGCTTATTCTACACATGCGTACGGCAAGAAAACGGTTGATTATATCGACTATGTGTATGTGTTGTCCCTTCCGTAGGAGCGCGCGTGACGTATCACGGGGATAAACTCGGATAAACTCTGCTTACATTACGAGCAGGTGATGGCGCCTCATCGCGCGCCGCTCCGCGCGCCGGTGTCAGTAAACCTCGAACCGTCTCGCGGAACGGAGCGGAGAATCGAAGCGCGATGAGTTTTTCGATCGCGTCATGTGTCGATTGTCGTCGTAATAACTCGCGCGGTTAAAAAAAAAAAAAAAAAACGGCGGGCTAAGAACGCAACAGACTTTTCTGTGTCTTCAAAAAAAAAAAAAAAAAAAAAATACTCGCTTCCATGCGTTTGAAACTGGAATCGTCCAATTAACAAATTGAGGTAATTGCACACTTCACTTTAATTTCTACTTCTAACATAAAAAACAATTATTGCGCCTGACGATTGTATAAAATAAATTCAACTAACGCTACTTGTCGCTGTCGTGTTTTTACAAAAAATTTTACATTGAAGAAAAAAATAACATGATGTTAAAAATGCGTTTAGTTCCCAAAATTAATTGTTGCTTTATTTTTAATTTAACGATGTTTTTCCAGATTATAACGCGAATATTCGCGTTCGATGATCTTCGACCGCCGCAAGTATAATCGAACGAATAAATAATATTATCTTCTCGATTTTTTTATCTCGATGTTTTTTTTGTCTCGATAATAGAAACATAACGGCGATAATAAACGCACACCTTCCTTCGTGTGCCCGTTGACAATTTTATTTAAATTCCTCGCTCGCGCAAGAAGAGCAATTGCTCGAACTTCCTCGGACAATTTACTCGACGAGCACATCCTTTTCTTGTTCTGCGCACACGCGCGAACGCGCGTCTAACGAGTCGAGTAATTTAATTCCCATATACATAGGTCATGGCGCGGCGCGTGCATGGTAAAAAGCAGAATCGGACGGAATGAATGAAAACGGGAGCGGCGCAAAAAACGCGAGCGGCGCGGTCGTTACTTTCGTGTAAATTACCCGCAATTACAGAAAGTTCGCCTCCCTTCCCCGGTTCTTTGATACGAAATCGCGCGGCGCGTTTTCTCGCCGTCCGATTGTGCCTCGTCGCGATTGTCCGCTACTTCTCGTCCGTCCCGTCGGACGACCGTAAATATGGCAGGGGATAAGAGACGCCATTGTTCTCGTGCCAGGGGAATTACCGGCGAAATATTCGTCTCGAGAAATGAGCAATCGTCGACTGTCTCGCTAATTTACATCCTTTCGGTATATTCAGTGTTTCAGATTCTTTAAATAATTGGCAAATTGGATGTGAGATCTTGGTGCTTTGTTTTAATAAAAAATTATAAATTTTTGACAAAAATACATACACTAATAAGTTATAAACAAATGGCAATGGCTTGGAATTTTTAATAAATATATGAACAGGCCAATAACCAACCAGTTGATTTTTAATAAAAAAAACAACAGTATTTGAACTTTTCTATTTTCTTTATTTAATAAATTTTCTCAAGTCTTATTATAAGATTTCGACGTACGTAATTTTCTAATGGAACAGTCACTGGGATCTTGTGTGTCCAGGTTCTTGTTGAGCCGTTTTAATTTGCTTAATCTTTTGGACAAAAAATATATAGTTTCAGAGGATATAGATCTAGAGAAACGCGAGCAAAAGAGAGAATAAAGAGAGATTCTGAAGCGTATGCTTCAAGAAACATACATGGTTTTTTCTATGTATTACGCGTTCATTCAAAGTTTAATTATATTTGTGTAACACAAAAGTTGCGGCTAGTGTAAACACAACGTGAGAATCGAGCGAGTCGCGCGCGCTCTGAAAATACAAGCTCAAAGATCCGGTGCTTTCTTCAACATAATCTCGTCATTGATGTGCGCTTCAAGTTGCGCGCACAAAAACCAACATGACTCGATTCGTTTTATCATGCTGCATCATGCCAGCGACCTTGCTGCTTTTAGTCGAGTTGCAAAAGTGCGTTTGCGCGAGCAGTAAAGAAGTTGATCGCACATAGTGAGGTATCACAAAGTATCTCCCTTGGCTCTAGTAAAATCAAACAACGTGTGGGTAAAAAATTTGGATGGGAGACAATGTGCGTAAATCGCGAATCCGGTCGTGCCGCGCCGTCCGCTTCCATATTAGACTAATCTCGGAAGGACCTCGTGTGTCAACCCACGCGTTCCCTTGTTCTGGATGACGTGTCTTCGCAATCTGTTTCTGTCAGACCGAACAATATCCTGACATTTAGAAAACAGACAACATTTCGAATGCGCATTTATTTTCCAGGTATTTTTCAAACAGTTTGACAACATACTTGTAAAATAAATGTTTGTTCGCTTCGATGAAGATTCCTGGGAAAAAAAAGTCCTTACAGGAACAAGTTTTACATCCGTTGTGATGTAATATTAATATAATTATTACAGTATATTATATATATATATATATATATTTAAAGATACAAAAAATTTTTTAAAATAATTGTATCGATGTATGTAAAATTTACATATTGCGATTTTCACAAATAACGTCCGCAAGACATCGTATTATAAGTCGTCACTCTTCGCGCTTTTATGTGCTTTAGAATTTAGCACCAAAATTTGTAATTACAATAACGTTCTTAAATTTTCCTCGAACGCGCGCGATTTTACGTCGCGTTCTCACGCGCACATACCGGTTTACTGATATACACGTAGCAGTTAATCGATATCACTGTACAGGTTTAGCCTTAGTGCGTGCAGTCACATTTTGCTCGCATATCGGTCCGATATAATCCAGTACTTCGAGACACACGTATATATACATCAGATGAGGCCATCTTCTCAAAGGCGACTCTTTAAATGCAACATGTAACTCGGTACCAATTTACGTT